AGCAGCAGCAGCTGCTGCTGCTGCCTTCGTCGGTCTATGCATGCAGAAGCAGCAGAACCTGCACCCTGTGGAGCCGAGCGGCAGCTGCTGCTGTAGCTGCGGCGGCGGTATGCTGCCTGCTGCAGCAAAAGCTGCTGCTCGGAAGCAACTCGCTTAGAAAAGTCTGCAGCAGCAGCAGCAGCAGAGGGCTGTGACGCACCACGCGCTGCTGCAGGCGGCTCCCTGCGTAGCAGCCGATGAGGCAGTCGCTGCTGCTGTTGCTGCTGCTGCTGCTGCTGCAGCAGCAGCGCATGCAAAGACGGAGTTGCAGCAGTAACGTCTAAAGCTGTCGTTGCATGCGAAAGAAGACGCGTCATAGGACACCGCGCATTCTGCTGCTGCTCCTGCAGCAGTTGCTGCTGCTGCTGCTGCTGCTGCTGCTGCTGCACCCCTCCTGGAAGCTGTGTTCCTGCAGCAGAGAAGGGTCCAGAGTGTACACGCAGCTGCGGCTGCAGCTGCCCTGCGCAAATGCCAGGTGAATGCCGCAGTTGCTGCTGCACTGCAGCAGCAGCAGCAGCAGCAGGACCCCCTCCAGCAGCAAACAGCGCTGTAGCACGAGTAGAGTTGTTGCTGTTGATGCTGCTGCTGCTGCTGCTGGCCCATGGAACCTCCAGCGAAGGCCCAGCGCCCCCAGTGAAGGCAGAAGCCGATAACACCCCGTGCGCAGAACAAATGCTGCTGCTGCTGCTGCTGCTGCTATGCAGGCGAGGCTGCAATAAGCTTTGCCTTGCTGCTGCAGCTGCAGGCAGCGCGTTCGCAGCTGGAATTGTCCTAGACTGAAGTTGTTCATGCTGCTGCAGAGACTGTTGCTGCTGCTGCTGAAACCGTGGTTGTCGTTCCTGTTGTTGCTGCTGCTGCAGCTGCTGCTGCTGCAGCAGCTGCTGCTGCTGCTGCGGGTGCGCAAAAGGACGCACCTGGCGCTGCTGCCGCAGCGTTCTTTGTGGGAGTTCCTCATCCATTTCCGCTGCTGCTTTGGCTGCTGCTGCAGCTGCTGCTGCTGCTTTGGCTGCTGCTGCTGCTGCTGCTTCGGGTGCTGCTGCTGCTGCTGCTGCAACTGCGTGCGGCAGTTTATGCTGCAGCCCCGTGAGATATTGCAGCGGCTGCTGATTCCCAGGCTAGTGGGGTTGTTGTTGTGGTGCTGCTGACCGAAGCCCGCTACTGCTGCTGCTGCTGCTGCTGCTGCTGCTGTCACTGTGCTGCATGCAGACAATTTGCGGTGTATGTACACCTCAACCTGCAGCAGCCCCTTGCTGCTCTTGTGCTCCCATGAGCAGAGACAGGAAGGAAAAAAACCCAGGAGAATTTGCAGCGACTGCTGCTGTTGCTGCTGCTGCAGCAGCCGACCGAGGAGCGCATGCGCTGCAGCAGCTGTTGCTGCTGCTGCTGCTGCTGCTGGGGGTTGCTGAGCATACAGTGGCTGCTAACACCGCAGCAGAGGGCTTAAACGGCTTAATTGATTTGGTGTTGGGGTTTCCGCATTAGGGGAATTGCATGCATCAGCAGCAGCAGGGGGGTGCTGCAGCTGCATGCAGCAGCAGCAGGAGCAGCAGCGGCGACAGCAGCAGCAGCGGCAGCAGTCCAAAAAGCCCCAACACCTTCTTCTGGATTTGTTATGGGTGTACTGCACATTGTTCATTATATTTATATATTTTGCTGTGTGATTCGCTGTGAGGCCCCGCCGCCGCTGCTGCTGTTCCTGCTGCTGCTGTTTCTGCTGCTGCTCCTCCTCTTGCTGCTGCTCCTCCTGCTGCTGCATAGCAATCAAAGAAATGCCAACCCCAGCGGCTGCTGCTGCAGGCGCTGCTGGAGATCGGCTTCATCTGAGGCAGCTTAATTGAGGGCTGCTTCTATCCCTGCAAAGACATGCAGCAGCAGCAGCAGCAGCAGCAGCAACTGCAACAACAGCAGGAAGGGGGGGGCTGTGGGGTGCCATGGTTGGCGCAGCAGTACACTGCTGCAGCCTGCCGCAGTTGCTGCTGGAACTTGCTGCCCTTGCTGCTGCTGCCTGCACTTTCTGCTGCAGTTGTTCCACCATATGGTGCTGCGGTTGCTGCTGCAGTTGCTGCTGCCGTTGTTGCAGCAGATGCTGCTGCAGAAGCAAAATGCATGCAACTTTGCTGCTTCTACCCGATGGCGGCGCTACAGAGAAGGGCCTGCTGCTGAGCTAAGGGGCTTCTGCTTCCGAATTGCTGCTGCTGTGCTGCTGCTGCTGTTGCTGCTGCTGCTGATGGCTTTATAAGGAAGCGGGCGCACCTGCGGCGTGGGGTAACTGCTGCTGTTTGCTGCTTTTGCTGTTGTCGCTGCTGCTGTCTCTCTCTTTCTCTGTCTCCCTGCCTCCCTCTCTTTGTTTATATATATGTCGATATAGATGTAAATGCAATCAGCTAGCTAGCTCAGTAGCTAGCTACCCGTTCAGCTAGCTAGCTACCCTGCTAGCTAGCTAGCTTCCCCGCTAGGTAGCTGGAGGTTGCTGCATTTTTGCTTTTTGTTAGCCTACTGACAAGGATTTAGCGTCTACAGGGTTAATGGTTCAGAGGGTTAAGGGTTTAGTTAGGGTTTAGGGTTTAGGGTTTAGGGTTTGGTCGCCTTCAAATTTTCAGCTGCCGTTGCTTTGAGGGAAGCGAGACAAAAGAAAAAAACAAACAGAGGCTGTGCTGCTGCCTGTAACAGTAACACTTGCTGCAGCAGCAGCACCTGCTGCAGCAGCAGCACTTGCTGCAGCAGCAGAACGAAGAGAAGCGGCGCGAGGAGCAGCTAGCTCCCAACTGGCTAGCAACTGACGCACCTAGCTAGCTCCTCAGCTAGCTACATCCCCAGCTGGCTAGCTAGCTACCTAGCTGGCTAGCTAACTCAACAGCTAGCTAGCTAGCTTCCCAGCGAGCTAGATAACTATACAGCTGGCCCCCCAGTCAACTAGTTAACTGGGCAGCTAGCTGGCTACCTAGCTAGCTAGCTAGCTAGCTAGCTAGCTAGTAGTCTAGCTCCTCTAAGATGTCTTCAAGGCCCTCTGCGTCTGCGAAGGGAGACCCTGCCATTGCTCTTTGCTGTATTTTCGCCTTGAGTTTGCTGATTTTGTTTTTGCTGCTGCTGTCATGGGCCTGTCTCTTTCTTTTTTTGTTTGCTACTGCTGCAGCTGGCTGCTCCTCTGTCTCCTCTATGTCGTCATCTTCATCTTCACTGTCTCCTTCTAAACCAACTTCTTCATCTTCATCTTCTTCTTCTTCTTCTTCATCTTCATCTTCTTCTGCTGCTTCTTCTGCTGCTTCTTCATCTTCATCATCTTCTTCTGCTTCTTCTTCGCTGTCTCCTTCTGCATCATCATCGCTGTCTCCTTGCCCCAGCTCCCGCGCCTGCTGAGCCAGGAAGGCATCCACCTGCGCGTACACCCCACAGCAGCAAGCAATACCAGCTGCAGCAGCAGCAACAGATGCTGCTGCTGCAGTAACAGCAGCACGAGCAGCAGCAACTGCGGCAGCATGAACCGGTCCGTGTACTACCAGCACATACACCAAGGCAAGCAGCAGCAACTAGGGCGTAACGAGGTGCTGCTGCTGCTACTGCTGCTGTTGCTGCTGCTGCTGCTGCTACAGCGCCTGCAAGAGAGATTTCGGTAGTACGCGCGAGCCCAGCAGCAGCAGCAGCAGCGGCAGGATTCGCCATATACGCAGCAGCAGCAACAGCAACAGCAGCAGCACCAAGGGCAGAAGTAGCAGCACCAAGGGCAGCAGCAGCAACAACTGCAACTGCAGCAGCACCGGCAGCAGCAAGTATGCTACCTCCTCGTCGCTGAAGGGATCATCTGCTTGGCTGTCTGCTTCTGAAGCCTCCCCATCGCTGTCTCCTTCACCCTCAGCAGCAGCAGCACCGCGGCGCCGCTTCTGCTGCAGCTGCCCAGCAGCAACCACGGGGTCCTGCGCAGCAGCAGGAAATACAGCAGCAGAAGCAGCAGCAGAGACAACAGTAGAAACAGCAATTCAAAGGTGCAGCAGCAGCAACAGCAACAGCAACACGGACTCCGCCTGTAGCTGCGCACGAAGCTACAGTGGGACTACTGCAACAAAGACAGCAGCAGCAGCTGCTGCTGCTGCTGCAGCAGGACCTGCTGCTGCTGCTGCTGCTGCTTACGATGAAGTATTGCCTGATGAATTCTCTTTCTGGATCCGCCTCATGCTTCTGCCAGTAGCGTGTGGAATTGAGCGAGATGCGCTCCTGCTCTTGCTGCTGCTGCTGCTGCTGCTTTTGCTGTTGCTTCTGCTGCTGCTGCACCTTGTACGCCAAGTCGTCGAGGACTCTGCCGCTGGTAACAGAGCGGAGTGTCTCTACAATTGCTGCTTCATCTGTTGCTGCGGGGTCTAGCTGCTTGTCGCTGCTGCTGCTGCTGCTGCTTTTGCTGCTGCTTTTGCTGCTGCAGTAAGCAGCAAGCAAGCCAGCAGCAGCAGAAGCCACACGAGGGTGATAACTTGCTGCGCATGCAGCGACCTCCCACAGGCGCGTCTCTTCAGCCTAAGCAGCAGCAAAAAGGAGACAGTTGTCTGGCTCTGCTGCTGCTGCTGCAGGTGCTGCAGGTGCCGCTGCTGCAGGTGCTGCAAGTGCTGCTGCAGGTGCTGCAAGTGCTGCTGCTGCTGCAGCTGCTGCTGCTAAACGGGGATGGGAAGGGGGTAGAGAAGCAAAGTTAAACATAGACAAAAGACAAAAGGAGACACCGCAATAACAACAGAAAAGACACAGACAAACGAAGAGACAAACAGAAAGAGAGGGTTAAAGATATAAACAGATAAAGATAAAGACATAAAGAGACAAACATATACAGATATATATATATATATATATATATATATAGATATGGAGACAGAGAGAGAGAGGAGACAAAGACAAACAAACAAACAGACAGCCAAATAAAGAGACAAACAAATAAAGAGACAGACAAGAAGTCTCTTACTCGCGTAAAGCGAGGGTCTCTCTTCTCCGGTGTATAAACACAGGCAGATTCAGAATCTGCTGCAGCAGCAGCAGCTGCTGCTGCTGCTGACGCACGCGGCTGCTCTGAGCTCTCCTCCGGATCGTCATCCTCTGGTGCGTCCTGCAGCAACGCAGATCAGCAGCAGCAGCAGCAGCGGCAGCATAAACCCCATGTAGTACACAAGAAGCAAGCATGCGTTCGTTGCGGGCTGTCCCTCTTGCTGCTTCTGCTGCAGCTACTTCAACTGCTGCTCTTCGTGCTAGAACATCTGCTGCAGCAGCTGCTGTTGGTGCTGCACTCACTGCCACAGCCTCATCCTTCTGCTGCAGCTGCGACTCTTTCTCAGACAGCAGCAAACGCAGCTGCGGCTGCTGCTGCAGCACCCCCTGCACGATTTGTAACGAAGCAGCTGCAAGGCCTGGCGAAGAGTGGAAGAGGCTTGTCTGCAGCAGCAGCAGCAGCAGCAGCAGCAGCAACAGGAATAGCAGCAAACTCTATCTTCCCGATATACCTCCTATCACCCCAGTGATGCTAAGATTGCTGCTAGTGCGGCTGCTACTCCTGTTGCTGCTACTGTTGCTTTCGTTGTTGCTGCTGCTGCTTCTGCTCCTCTTGCTGCTGCTGCTACTACTACTGCTACCGTTGCTGCTGCTGCTGCTGGTGCACACACCTGCAGCAGCCGCTTGATGAGAGCAGCCTTCCTCGCGTCGTTGGCATCCTGCAGCAGCAGCCGCAGCAGCAGCAGCAGCAAGCCCCCGCGGGTCCCCGAGTAAACCCCTGCATGCTGCGGCTGCAGCTGCTGATACACCACACGCGAGAGACGGTCTGGGCTGTGGCTGCGCAGCAGCAAAAACACAAACCCTAAGCCCGCAAACCCTAAACCCTAAACCCTAAACCTGCACCCTAAAAGCCTAAACCAAACGCAACATGTAAACGCAACTCACAAACAAAAGCAGCAGCAGCAGCATACACTGCAGCAACGACAACAGCAACAGCAAAAAAAAAGCAGCAGCAACAGCAGCAGCAACAGCAGCAACAACAGAAACAGCACCAGCAGCAGCCGCAACAGCAGCAGCCACAGCAGCAGCAGCAAGAACAGCAGCAGCAGCAACAGCAGCAGCAGCAGCAGCTGACTGGTAGAGGACAGTGAGAGAGTGCAGGATGCGGAGAGCCAACACCCGCGAGGCGACGCAAGGTAGACAGTGCGACAGAGCAAACAGCACTTCAGACAGCTGATCAAAGCTGCCTTGCTGCTGCTGCTGCTGCTTCTGCTTCTGCTTCTGCTGCTGCTGCTTCTGCTGCTGGGTCTTGACTGGCGCCTGAAGCAACAGCGTAGCTGCTGCTTCAGGAGAGACGTAAGGCAGAGCTCGCAGCAAACCCGAGAGCAGCACCCGCACCAGACGGTTGCAGCAGGAAGCAAGATAGAGGGGCGGCAGCATTGCTACTTGCTTCTTTGGAGCTGCTGCTGCTGCTGTTGTTGTTGCTGCTGCTGCTGCTTTCTTGGGGCCCAGAACCTGCTGCAGCACGGGCTGTAGAGACACTCCAAACTCCGCCAGCCTATTAAAGACTGATAAATAGCTGCTAACCACCTTTGCTGCTGCAGCCCCATCCTCCCTGCATGCATGCATGCAGCAGCAGCAGCAGCCACAGCAGCAGCAATGACAGATCTAGCACCAGCAGCACCAACAGTCCTAGCATCAACAGCAGCAGCTGCATGCATATAGCAGCAGCAGCACGAGATGCTTTATCAGACAGCTGCAGCAGCAACTGACGCAGCAGAAGCACCACCAGAACCTATGATGGCAGCAGCAGCAACAGCAGCAGCAGCGGAAGCAACAGCAGCAGCAGCAGCGGAAGCAACAGCAGCAGCAGCAAGGCCCTACTCTTTAAAGATGAGCTCTGAGAGGAAGAGGAGCGCGCGGTAGACAGCCTGTAAGCCAGCAGCAAACTTGGGAGGCAGCAGCAGATCGTAAACTCGCGCTGCTGCTTCAGCTTGCTGTCCCTCTCCGCTGCTGCTGCTGTTGCTGCTGCTGCTGCTTCCCCTCTTGTGCAGCAGCAGCCGCAGAAGCTCCCGTGCGCGTACTGCAGTGCGCGACGTTGGCAGCTGCCGCGGTGTATGGGCAGGTGCGGCTCCGTCTAGCTGCTGCAGCTGCTGCTGCTGCTGCTGCTGCTGCAGCTCGTGGCGTCTGTATTTGAAGCGCGCTGGCAGGTGGCGTCTTGACTGTCTGTACACCTCAAGAAGAGACAGACATGCTTCTGCTGCTTGCTTCTCTCCCTGCTGCAGCACAGCAGCAAGACGCCTAGCAGCAAAGTCTGCTGTATAAGATATAACAACTGGCAGCATCGGCCGGTGCCGCCGCAGCACCAGCGCCAGCTGCAGCGACGCACAAGAAGAAACCTGCAAACAGCAGCAGCAGCAGAAGCAGCAGCAGCAGCAGCAATTACAGCAATAGCAGCAGCAGCCCCATAGCAAATGCCCCTGCAACGTTCACCTGCAGCAGCAGCTGCACACACGACCCCAACAAACTCGCAAGTACCGCCTGCAGCAGCAGCAGCAAATGCAACAGCAGCAAAAGCAACAGCAGCACCAACAGCAGCAGAAACACTAGCAATAGCAGCAGCAGCACCATCAGCATCAGCAGCAACAGCAACACCAGCAACGGCAGCAACGGCAGCAACAGCAACAGCAACGGCAGCAACAGCAGGAGCAACAGCAGCAGCAACAGCAGCAGCAGCAATAGCAGCAGAACCCGACCTTTCCCTCCGGCGCCGCCAACTTGGAGACCAGAAGAGACAGCAGCTGCTGCTCCTGCTGCGGCTTCCTGATCAGCAGCTGAGCAGCAAACTTTGTCGCACGACAAGCCAACGCGGAGACACTGTCTTCAGATAAGGACTGCAGCAACTGCAGCAACAGCAGCAGCAACAGCAACAGCAACAGCAGCACAGTAGCAGCAGGAGCAACAAAAACACCCCCGCAACGCCAGCCTAGGAAGCTCGTAGTGCTGTCTCCAGTCGTTATGCTGCACTAGCTGCTGCTGCTGCTGCTGCTGCTGCTGCTGAAGGCCTACCGTTACGAAGGAGTTGTATCGCTGTGCAAGAGTCTCTTCAAAGCGCCACAGTAGCAGCAGCTGCAGCAGGGCAACAGCGGCAGCCCTGGATTGATCCTTCTTATCCTGCTGCTGCTGCTGCTCGTGATGAGAGCTTTTTTGTTTCTGCTTCTGCGGCTTAGGCTGCTGCTGCTGCTGCTGCAGCTGCTGCTGCAGCACCGGCAGCAACTCCGTCACTCGGTCTAGCAGCCACTGAGGATGCTGCAGCATGCCTTGCAGCTTCCTAAAGGAAGGCAGCAGCAAGGGGCCAGCAAAGAGCTCGAAGAGCTGCGCTGCTGCTGCATGTGCTGCAGATCTGCTCTTAGAAGCAGCGAGCTGCAGCAGCCGCAGCAGACATTTGCTGCTGCAGATAGGAGACTGCTGGATCAGCAGCACAAGAGACGACACCTCATCCGCGCGTGTGGGGCCCTTTTGCTGCTCGTCTGCTGCTGCTGCTACGCCGTTGCGACGCTGCTTGCCTCCCATCTGCCGCTGCTGCTGCTGCTGCTGTTGCTGCTGCTGCTGCGGTCGCAAACCTGCATTCTTCAGCATCCAGCGCTGCTCTGCGTCTGTCTCCAGCAGCGCGTACAGCCGAGCGCTGATATGCTGCAGCGCCTTATCAGCCACTGCTGCCCACAAGGCCCAGTCTACGCTGCTGCTGCTGCTGCTGCTGCTGCTGCTGCTGCTGCTTTTGCTGCTGCTGGAGGGCACCCGTAGCTCCATGAGGGCGCTTTCTGCGCTCTTCGCAGCAGCATGCCAAGGGCCCCTCCCCCAGCGGTCTAGCCACTGCAGCACATCTTCCTGCTGCAGCAGCTGCTCTGCTGCTGCTGCTGCTGCAACTGCTTCAGCAGAGCAGGAAGCAGCCACAAAGGGACTCCCTGCTGCTGCTGCTGCTCCAGCTGTTGCTGCAGCAATCTGTGTCGCGCTACTCCCCCCGGCACTGCGGCTAGCCTGCTGCTGCTGCTGCTGCTGCTGTTTCTGCTCCTTCTGCTGCTTCCGCTGCTGCCAACCATCCCACCGTCTAGCCGAAGCGTCTTTGCTGCGCTGCTGCTGCAGCGCAGCCTTCACTTGCTGCTGCAGCTGCTGCCGCTCTTGCTTTATGGTAGTATCATCATCTGCAGGCTGGGGGAGCGACTCCTCACGCTGCTTCCGCCGCTGCTGCTGCTGCTGCTTCTCAGCGTGCTGCTGTTGCGGCCGCTGCTTCTGCTGTTCCTGTTGCTGTTTGCTGCTGCTGCTGCTATTCAAGCCGCTGCTGCTGCCGTTTGCAGTGCTGAGCCTGTCTCTGCGGGGCCCCCCACGGCCGCGTGAGGGGCCCCCACCTCTGCCTCTCCCCCTAAAGGAAAAGCCTGCATTCTTGTGGTTGCTGCTGCTGCCGCTGCTGCTGCTGCTGTTGCTGTTGCTGCTGCCAGCAGCAGGGGGCCTCTTCAGACTTCTGGGAGGCCCCGAGCCGCCTCTCGAGGGCCTGCCGTCTGCCCTAGCAGCGCCTCTCTTGCGATGGACAGACATCGCGGCGCTGCTGCTGCTGCTGCTGCGGCTGCTGCTGCTGAGGCTGCTGCTGCTGCTGCAGCTGCTAGTGTTTCTCTTGCTGTTGTTCCTCCCAGAAACTGCAACAAAAACCCCGCAGCAAGAAGCCTCAAAAAAAGAAGCCTAGATGAGGCTACGAGAATCGATGCTGCCGCTGCTGCTGCTGCTGCTGCTGCTGCTGCTGCTGCGGGGCCCCACAGGCGGTCATCCCGCCTTTACAAGTTGAAGAGATTAGCTCTTTTCCTTCACTTCTATTTTTCTGCTTCTTCCTCTTGCTGCTGCTGCTGCTGCTGCGAAGAGCAGGAGCCCGCTGGCTCCAAGGCAGCGAAGACCAGAGGGGCCCCGCTCCTGCTGCTGCTGCTGCTGCTGCTGCTGCCTGCGCCGCCGACTCGCCTGCAGCAGCAGCAACAACAGCAGCAGCAACAGCAGCGAGGAGGAATACTTAATATGGTTGGGAGGTTAAAATGGAGGTTTACAAAAAGCAATAAGCCCTTAGCTCCAGCATAGTTGCTGCTAAGGCCTGTTGCTCTGCTGCTGCTGCTGCTGCTGCTGCTGCTGTTGCTGCTGCTGTTGCTGCTGCTACGGAAGTACTTGCTGCCGCAAGCTAAGAGGTTCTGCAACGCCAAGTTGTGGTTGAGCGGGCACTGTACGACTCAAGTGGTGCAGCAACGCAGGCGAGGTGCTACCGCTGCCTCCGCAGCAGCAGCAGCAGCAGCAGCAGCTCGTTGCTGCTGCTGCTGCTGCTTATGTGTGTTAATGCTCCTCAACGCTCCTGCCGAGGCTCTTGAGGCCGCTAGATGAAGCAGGAACAGCCGAAAAGCCTGCCAGCAAAGTGTGCAGCAGCAACAGCAGCAGTCGCAGCAGCAGCAGAAAAGCAGCAGCAGAAAAGCAGCAACAGCAAGGGCAGTTCAGGCATTCGCTCAACTCTACAGATCCCGCGCATTTATCACGCTAACTCCCTGCAACGCAACAACCTGCTGCAGCAGCACTGCTACAGCAGGTTGTTGCTGCAGCAGCAGCAGCAGCAGCAGCAGCAGCATGCTGCACGAAAGCTGCATTTAGCTGTTTGTTTGTTTGGTTTCGTTAACAATTTGAATTGTTTGTTGCTGCTGGCTGAGGGGCCCTCTGTAGGATTTGTCTCCTTTTCTGTTTATAAAGCCGTTTGCGGCTGTCTCTCAATCTGTTGCTGCTGCTACATATACTCTGTTGCTGCTGCTGTGCTTGTCCTTATCGATCTGTATCTCTGTCTCTGTCTGTCTCTCTGTCTCTGCTGCTGCTGCAGTAGCAGCAGCAGCGCAACTGCTGTTGCTGCTTCACATTCGTTACCCCATGCAGCAGCAGCGAGAATACCTTTACACTGTACTTCAAACACGAAATAAAACGCAGCAGCTGCTGCTGCTGCCAACCAACAGCAGCAGCAACAGCAGCTCCTCCCGTTCCTGCTGCTGCTGTTGCTGCTGCTGCTGTACCTGCTGCAGCAGCAGCACCTGATGGGCCTAGCGCCGCGCTGCTGCAGCAGAATCACGCGCCATCGGCTGGCTGGCGCTTTGACAGCTGCAGCTGCAGCAGCACTAGCAGCAGCAGCAGCAACCAGCGCTGCTGCTGCGTTGCTGCTGCGCTGCTGCTGCGCTGTTTCTGCGTAGCCCCGCAAAAGTACAGGTGCATACGGGAGACAACTGTCTCCTCCTGCACACGCTGCTGCTGCTGATGCTGCTGCTGCACCTCAAGGTGCTGCTGCTACTGGAGTACTTGAAACTGTTGCGGCTGTTGCTTCCTCACCTGCTGTTGCTGCAGCAGCTTGCTGCTGCTGCTTGCTGCTGCTGCTGACAACAAAGGCTGCCCCATATCGGCTTCAAACCCTGCGAGGTACCTGCGCCGCCTCTGGTCCTGCTGCTGCTGCTGCTGCTGCTGCTGCTACGGCTGCTGCTGCCGCTGCTGCTGCTGCTACCGCCTGTGGTGCGGCGCCTGCTGTTGTTGCTGCTTCTGCCGCTCCTGCTACGAGATCTGCTTCCCCTGTTGCCACTTCAGCGGCACCTGTTGCTGCTTCTACTGCTGCTGCTGCTGCTGCTTCTGCTGCTGCTGTTGCTGTTGCTGCTGCTTCTGCTGCTGCTTCTGCTGCTGCTTCTGCATCTGCTGCTGCTTCTGCTGCTGCTTCTGCTGCTGCTTCTGCTGCTGCTGCTTCCATTCCCTCAGCGCTGTCCTCTTTGAGCTGCTCGGCCTTCGGCTGCTGTTGCTGTTGCTGCTGCTGTTGCTGCTGCTGCTGTTGCTGCTGCTGTTGTTGTTGTTGCTGCTGCTGCTGCTGCTCTATGGAACGCGACACTCTGTCGATGCTTTGAAGGTACCGCAGCGCCACCTGCCCGAAGCGTGCGTACACCGCAGGCGTCCCCTGCAGCAGCAGCAGCAACAGCAGCAGATGTAGCAGCAAATAATGCAAAAGGCCTCTTAAGTCGCAATCCTGTGCGCCCCAGCTCAACTACAGGTGCGCGCAGCAGCAGCAGCAGCAGTAGCAGCAGCAGCAGCAGCAGCAGCTAGAGCAGGCACGTGCTCTACTTCGGAATTCGCATCTCTTGGAGACCCTCCACTATTTGCTGCAGCAGCAAGAGGAAACAAAAGCAGCAGCAGCAACCGCAGCAGCAGGATATAAGGCACAGCAGCAGCAGCAAGGGCCTAGCCGCGGCTCAACCAGCAGCAGCAGCAGCAGCAGCACAAGCAGCAGAAGCAAGAGCAAAAGCCCTGGTCCCCGCAACAGCAGGAGGAGCAGCAAGTGTTGCCCGAGCAGCAGAACCACCAGCAGCAACCGCAGCAGCAACTGCAGCAGCAACAACAGCGCCAGCACCAGCAGCACCAGCAGCACCAGCACAAGCCCCAGCAGCAGCAGCAGCAGCAGCAGCAGTTTGTCAGCACCTGAGGAGCGTCGTGACGCAAAGGACCTCCTTTTTGTCTCCCCTGTCTCCATGCGATTTGTTTCTGCTGCTGTTTGCTGCTGCTGCACGTCTGCTGCTGTCTCTGTCTCTGTCTCTGTCTCTATTTCTTTCTTTGCCTCTGCCTCAGTCGCAGTAGGCGTGCTGCTCTCTTCCTCTTGCTCCGCCTGCTGCTGCTCTTGCTGCTGCTGCTGCTGCAGTTGCTGCAGTTGCTGCTGCTGCAGCAACGAGGGGTCCCTCTCGGGGCCCCCGCAGCCAGTCAGCAGCAGCCAATCATCATCAGCAGCAGCAACAGCAGCAGCCTGCAGCGGCAGCACTCCCGTGTCTTCAGATAAATCATATATATCGCAGGTTAGCTGCCTAGCAGCAGGAAGGAAGCTGCTTTGCTGCTCGTTGTCTAGCCAATATACTTCAACTGGGGAGGCTTCGGCAAAGCTCTGAACGCAGTAGCAGCAGCAGCAGCAGCAAAACCCGAAGCAGCAGCAGAATCGAGGCGCTACCGACTGCAGCACCCACCAACAGCAGCAGCAGCGAGAAACAAACAAACACACATATCCTAGACACAGCACGCATGCAAGCAGATGCAGCGGCAGCAGCAACAGCACTACCAGCTGCAGCAGCAACACCAGCTGCACCAGCAACACCAGCTGCAGCAGCAACACCAGCAATAGCAGCTCAAGCAGCAACACCAGCAATACTAGCTCCAGCAGCAGCAGCAACACCAGCAGCACTTGCTGCTCTAGTAATACTAAGACTACCAACAGCGGGCTACACGATCAGCAGCAAACACGAGCAGCAGCAACAGCAGCAACAGCAGCAGCAAAGCCTCTCACCTGTAGATGTCCAGTAGAGACGCTAAGCGACCCATCACCTGCAACCGAACATAGCAGCAGCAGCAGCAGCAGCAGCATACAAGTGTGTCTGTTTCTGATAGAATACCGAAATTAGTTGGCTGGAGCGGCAGCTCTTGCTACCTTGCTGCTGCTGTTGCCAGTACTGCTGCTGCAGCTGCTGCTGCTACTGTTGCTGCTGCTGGTGTTGCTGCTGTGGAGCGATATCCCTACATGTCTCACATCCTGTGGTACCCTCCTGCTGCTGCTGCTTCTGCTGCAGCGCGAGACTGAGATGCCCCTTCTGCTTCTCTTTCTGCTGCTGCTGCTGCCGCCGCGCTTGCTGCTGCAGCCGCTCTTGGAGCTGCTGCTGCTGCTGTTCTTGCAATAGCTGCTGCTCCTCTTCCGAGCTTGTGGGGGAGGAGGAATAAGGCGGAGAATCCTCTGAGGACCCGCGCTGCTGCTGCTGCTGTCGCTGCAGCAGCTGCTGCAGCTGCTGCTGCTGCTGCAGGTGATGCGCCTCAAGCCGTTTTCGTTGCTTCAGCGCTTCGAGCTGACGTTGCAGCTGCTGCTGCTTCATTTGGTGCTGCTGCAGAAGCTTATCTTGCTGCTGCAGCAGCATCTCTTGCCGCTGCACCTTCTGCAGCAGCACATTGACCATGGGGCCCTCCTCGTCTGATTCTTTCACGGGCCACTCCGCCACTTGCAGCAGCAAATTCGGCTGCTGCTGTTGTTGCTGTTGCTGTTGCTGCTGCTGCTGCTGTTTCTGCTTGTGCCACCGCTTCTGGCGCTGCCTTTCGTGCTGCTTCTGCTGCTGCTGCTGCAGCTTCTTCTGCAGGAAGGCAGGCAGAGCAGCACCAAAGCCGCAGCAGGGTCCCGTCTCTGTTGAGCGCTGGCTGCTGCAGCTGTCACTATCTCCGTCTGTAGCAGAAGCAGCAGCAGCAACAGCAGCAGCAGCAGCGGCAACAGCAGCAGCTGCTGCAAGCGCTGCAGGACTCGAGCCGTGGGGCTTATCCATATGGTTCTGCTGCTGCTGCTGCGGCTCCCTTTGCTGCTGCTCCTGCAGCTGCTGCTCTGCATGCACGCCATCTGAGTATATGTGCAGGCTGCGGAGCTCCTTCTGCTGCAGCTGCTCCAGCAGCAGGGCCTGCTGTTGCTGCTGCTGCTTCTGCAGCAGCGGCTGCTGCTGGGCCTCCCATTGCCGCTGCAAGCTCTCCTTGCGCTGCTCCAGTTGCTGCTGCTGCAGCACCTGCTGCTGCTGCTGCAGCTGCTGCTTTTGCTGCTGCAGAGACTCTAAAGGAGAAAAGAAGCTATCCTGAGCTGGAAGCCACATCAGGCAGTTCCCATGCTTGTGCACGCGAACGTGCAAGGGGCCCTGCTGCTGCTGCTGCTGCTGCTGTTGCTGCACCAGCTGCTGCTGCACCAGCCGCTGCTGTCGCTGCTGCTGCTGCTGCTGTTGTAGCGCTGCTTCAGCTGGAGCCCCTGAGTGCCGGATAATCGGAATGTAGTAATACATCCCTACACTTGCAGGCCCTGTAGCAAAGCACTGCTGCATCTGTTGCTGCTGCTGCTGCTGCTGCTGCTGCTGTTGGAGTGACGCAGCCCACCACGCATTCTGCTGCTGCTGCTGCTGCCGTTGCTGCTGCGCAGAATGCTGCACGCCCCTCCGTGCAACAGCAGCAGCAGGAGCAGCAAGGGCTCCTGCCTCTCCTAATAACTCCGCCATTACTGCAGAGCGCTGTTGCTGCTGGTCTGTACTGCCAGCAGCAGCTGTGTACCTGCAGCAGCAACAACAGCAGCAGCAACAGCAGCAGCACAATAGCGAGCCAAGGAAGCACACGCAACAGTAATCTATTCTGCTGCTGCTGCTGCTGCAAGCTCACTGAGGGGTGTCTAAAAAGTCATAACATCCCTGCTGGTCCTCAGTCCCGTATAATACCTGGAACCGCAACAGCAGCAGCAGCAGCAGCAGCAACAGCAGCAGCAGCAGCAGCAACAGGAGCAGTATCAGCAGCAGCAGCAGCGGCAGCAGCGTCCACTATTACCTATAGCAGCAACGGCTGGAATTGCAACAGCAACAAACTCTGCAGCACGACATACAGCAGCGTAGCTCCCAGGAAACGCAGGAGCAAAAGCTGCTGCAGCTTCAGCAACAGCAGCAGCAACAGCAGCAGGTACGGCGCACCTTCAAAAACCTGGCTTGGGGGGAATCGAGGGGCAGCAGGACAGAGTTACTGTCTTGCTGCTGCATCGCGGTAACTGCTGCTGCTGCTGCAGAAGCTCATGCCTTTGCTAAGGCCACCGCTGCCGTTGCTGCTGCTTCTCTTGCCGTTGCTGCTGTGTGCGCGCTCCGCGGCACTGCTGCTGGTGCAACTGCAGCAACTGCTGCTGCTGTCGGCGATGTTGCTGCACCTTAAGTCGATAGCTTGGGGTGTGCAGCCAGAAGATAGGTTCCAGGGGCAGCAGCTGCTGCCGCTGCTGCTGCTGCTGCTGCTGCTGCACTTGCGCACAACCGTCCTGGCTGTGCAGTGTGTTGTTGAGACTCTAAAGGTTGTCTCAGCAAAGGAAGTAAAGAAAGGGGTGAGGAAGTCACTGCTGCAGCGGGCGTGTTGCTGCTGCAGCTGCTGCAGCAGCAGCTGCTGCTGCTGCTGCTGGCGGCGGAAGTGGTGTGGGAACACCGCTGCTGTATTGAAGCACGCCTTTGAGGTGTTTGATGTGTTGCTGCTGCTGCTTCCTGGAAGAGCTGCTTCTAACGGTGCAGCAGCTCCAAGAGGAATGCGAGCGGAAGCAGCAGCAGCAACAGCAGCAGCAACAGCAGCAGCAGCAGCAGCAAGCCAAGGGAAATGGCGTCACGCCGCCAGGAGAGTTGCTGCTGAGGCTGCTTCTTAATAAAGCAGATCTCTCAAACAGAGGGAAGAAGTACAGTTTTGCGAGCTGCTGCTGCTGCAGCGCAGTAGCAGCAGCAGCAGCCCTCGCCGTTGAGTCGGCTAAAACCAGCAGCAGCAGCAGCAGCAGCAGCAGCAGCAGCAGCAGGAACGGGAACAGCAGCGGCAGCCATCCAGCTATCTATTGCCCTTTCGGTTTAAACAATTATTAATAATTGTTTTGACTATTTCTATGAAACGTTTTCGCAGCAGCGGCTGCTGCAACACACGTTTACCTATGGCCAGCAGCAGCAGCAGCAGCAGCAGCAGCAGCAAACGACTCGGGGCCTCCTGCGCGTTTCTAGTCTGCTGCTGCGCCCGCAGCAGCCTTACCATCAACAGCAGCAAAGCATGCAATAATTGCTTAAATATATTTGCGTGTTGAGAATTGCTTGCACTCAGTTTGCTGCTGCTGCTGCCGCCTAAAGAGCAGCAGCAGCCCTCCGTGGGGCCCCCCGTCCCCTTGAGGCCCTTCATTTGTTTGCTCCTTAGGCAGCAGCAGCAGCAGCATTCAGCAACAGCTGCAGCAGCAGCATCGGAAAGCGAGGAGACGCGGCGCGGGTGTCTCAGGCCGCTGCTGCTGTTGCTTCGGCTGCTGCTGCTGCTGCGGCAGCAGCAGCAGCAGCACGAGGGCATCCCCTGTGTCTCGAGGTAACAGGTAAGGCCTAGCTAACAGCTTGTTGTGTGGATCCAGCAGCGTCAGCAGCAGCAACTGCAGCGCCTGCAACAGGAAGCAGGACCACTAGCAGCAGCACCTGCTGCTGCAAGGGCAAGCGTTGACGTAGCAGCAGCAACAGCCACAGCAGCAACAGCTGCTGCAGCAGCAGCGAAGATGGAGGCCCCGTACTTTATGGATTGCTATGAGGACTGCCGGTCCCTCAAGTTTCAGCATGGTGAGTTGCTGCTGCTGCTGGTGCTGCTGCTTGAGCTGCTGCTGCTGCTGCCGTTGCTGCTGCTGCTGCTACTGCTGTTGCTGCTGCTTCCTACGTCCTCTCTATATATGGTGTCTGTCTTGCGACGCAGCATACAGGCTTCCACTGGAAGACAGCAGCAGCAGCAGCAGCAACAGCAGCAACAACCTTTGCGTGCTGCACTGCTGCAACCTGCTGGTTGTGGGGTGGGGGGATCGTCTCCTCCCCTACTGCGCCGTCACTGCAGCACGGGGACATCTCGCGCTTCTGCATCCGCCCATAGAAGTGCGCTCTGTTGCTATTGCTGCTGCTGTTGCTGCTGCTGCTGCTCCCGCTCCTAAGGCAATCTCTGCTGCTGCTGCTGCTTGCTGGAGTGCAGTGATTTGCCGCGTGTGCGTAGAACAAGTTGCCAGCAACCCCACATCTTTCTTCTGCTGGTGCTGCTGCTGCTGCTTTTGCTGCTGCTGCTTTTGCTGCTGCTGCTGATCATGCCGCATTCTGCGTGCTGTGCTGCAGCTGGGGGGGAGCGTCTCAGCTTTGCTGCTGAGCCGCTGCTGTCGCTTCCTTGCTGTTGCTGCTGGCAGAAGAGCGGTGGTGCTGCCTGTGGGGCAGTGCTCTAGAGCAGCAGCTGCAGCAACAGCAGCAGCAGCAGCAGCAGGGGCAGAGACAGCAGCAGCAAGCTGTCTCTCGCCGTCCTGTAAGCGCATTGATGCCGCAGAACTTCCAGAGGACATCACCGCCATCGCATGGACAGGTGCTGCTGCTGCTCTTGCTGCTGCTGCTGCTGCTGCTGTTCTTGCTGCTGCTGCTGTTCCCGTTCGTGCCTCGTGTTCTGCTGCCTTTGGCTTAGGGCGTTCGATGCCGAGATGGCTAATGCTGCTGAATCTGCTGTTGTTGCTGCGTCATCTGCTGTTGCTTCTGCTCCTGCTGCTGCTGCTGCTGCTGCTGCTGCTGCAGGCGACGGCCGGCTGCTGCTGAACTCGTACAGCAGCGGCCTCTTTATTGCTGACGGCAAAGGGGACGTACACCTCGCAGTGTCTCCACCGCTGAGAATATCCTGTAAGTTGGGGCTTGCTGCTGCTGCTGTTGCTGCTGCTGCAGCTGCCGTTGCTGTTGCTGCTCGCAGCTGGTTCTGCCGGAGTTCCTGTTGCTGCAGCTGTTACTGCGGCTGCTGCTGCTGCCACACGAAGTCGTCTGCTGCTGCGGCCATTTCCGCCTACATGGAAAGGCGTGGGGATCTGCTGCTGCTGCTGCTGCTGCTGCTGTTGCTGCTGCAGCAATTACGGGCTTTACGGGGACTGATGAAGAAGGGCCTTTAAAGGGGACAGTCGCGCTGCTGGCTTCTCGCTCTCCCCTGGCACTGTGGGCCTTGAAAACGCATGCAGATAGCAGCAGCAACAGCAGCAGCAGCAGCAGCAACAGCAGCAGCAGCAGCAAGGACCTGTGCCTGGTTCCCATTAGCCTTGCAGGCCTGGAAGGGCCGCTGAATCCAGAGGGAGCAGCTCTTGCAAAGGGGTGGGTTGCTGCTGTTTCTGTTGCTGCTGCTGCTGCTGCTGTTGCTGATGCTGATGCTTCTTCTGCTAGTGGCAGTGCTGCTGTTGCTGCTGCCGCCGCTGTTTGCTGCTGCTCAAAGCCCGTCGTCGTGCTGCTGCTGCTGCACCTGTGCGGCTGGAGTTCAGCAGCTTCTTCGCAACTGGAGCGGCAAACATTTTGTCTCCTGCTGCTGCTGCTGCTGCTGTGGGGTTTTGCTGCAGAAAGGGCCGGTGCTTGGGCCTCTCCTGGATCTCTCCGGGTTTCTCAGCAGCAGAAGCGGATGGCGCTGCTGCTGCTGCTGCTGCTGGTGCTGCGGGTCCTTTCCTTGCTGCTCTGTTTGCTGTGGAAGATGCAGACCTTGAGGAGGGCGATGACCAGCAGCAGCAGCAGCAATTTGCAAGTGCTGCTGAAGAGGACGCCTTCCTTGAAGCAGAAAACCCCGCCTTCTCCTCTCTGCTGCTCTTCACCAAGCTCGAGCCCGTGCAGCAGCAGCAGCAGCAACAGGAGCTGCGGCTGGTGCCGGTTGCCGCTGCTTTGAACGAGGTGATTGTTGACTCTCTTGCTGCTGCATCTGCTGCTGCATCGGCTGCTGCTGGATTTGCGGCTCCTAGGAGAGTTACTGGTGCTGCTGCTAGCTTTACTGCAGTGTATTGTAGCTGCTGCTGCTGCCTTATGCGCGTGTTTGCATACGGCTACACCTTTCTGCTGCTTCTTTCTGCTGCTGCTGCTGCTGCTGCTGCAGATATACATCGGGAGGATGCGAGCAGCAACAAGCGGGGTCTTCCTGCCGCTGCTAGAATGGGGGGCTGTTTGCGTGAGGTGTACAGACACCACACAGCTGTCTTTCTTTGCATGCAACGCCTTCGTTCAGCAGCAAACAGCAAGCAGCAGCAAACGGCTCTGCTGGGGAGACAACAACCAGGCAGCAACAGAATGTGAGGAACTTGCTGCTGCTGCTACTGCTGCTGTTGCCGCTGTTGCTGCTGCTGTTCGGGAAGCAGCATTAGAGACAGAGGAGGCACTTGCAGCAACAGCAGTGTCAGCAGCAGCAGCTGCCCTATCAGGAGCGCCATCAACAGCACCATCAGCAGCAGCAGCAGCAGCAGCAGCAGCAGGTTGAGTGTTTGTCTTTGTTTATGTTTTATCTGCTGCAGCGGATGGATGTTGGCGCTGCATTTTATTAGCTGAAGGCAGCAGTTTAGAGACAGCAGACGAAGAGGCGAGGCCCTTGGGTCTCTCTTGCTTCACTGCATTTCCTGATGCAATCATGAGAGAAGGCGTAAACCCTAAGCCCTTATAAACCCTAATAAACCCTTATAAACCCTTATACGCATTCATTAAGCCTTATAAACCCTTAGAAGCATTAACTAGCCCGTATAAACATTCATAAACCCTTATATGCGTTTATAAACCCTCATATGCATTTATAAACCCTTATAGACTTAATAAATCCTCATAAACCCTAACCCTAAGCCCTAACCCTAAACCCTTGTAGACCCTTTTAAACTTAATAAGCTGTAATACGGCCTTTCAAACCCTTCTAAACCACAAACCCTAATTAGCCCTTATAAACCCTAAACCTTTCTAAACGCTGAAAAACCCTTGCTTACCTTTGTACACCCTTATAAACCCTAAACCCTAACACACTTGTTCTAAACCCTAAACCCTACTACGCGTACTGTGTAGCTTGTAGCGGTTTAAGGGTTTGAGGTACAGAGAAAGCCAGCGAGGAGACAAGGAGACAGTTGCATGTTTTTTTCAAAGTTACTTCGTTATTAAGACTGAGAGAGAAGAAAGCAGAGTTCTTATAAAGAGTATATACATCAACAAGAAGCAGCAAGGCAAATAGCTGTTCCGCTGTCTTCGTCTGTCTCTTTTATACATCTGCTGCTGTCTCTCTTGCTGTCTGTCTCTCTGTCTCTGTCTTAGGCGGATATGGATACACCTCTCCTCACCTCTCCTGCAGTTTTCTTCATTGCAGAGTCAACAGGTTAGGAGAGTTTAGGGTTTAGGGTTTAGGGTTTAGGGTTTAGGGTTAATCAGCGCTGTATGCCTGCACATACACTTGTGTTTCCCCCATTCATTCAGGCGGCAGCGCTTGCTGCTCCTGCTGCAGTGATGCTGCTGCTGCAGTTTTGCTGCTGTTGCTGCTGCTTCTGCCGCAGTTGTGCTGCTCCTGCTGCAGTTGTGCTGCTGCTGTCGCTGCAGCTCGGAATTGGGTTATTGTGTGGGGTGTACTTGCTGCAGGAGAGGTGACTGTACACCTGGCGGACCGCTGCGCTACCCTCGTACGTGACACGGAGGCCCTTGAGATTCCCCTGCTGCCTCCACTGCAGCAGCAGCAGCAGCAGGATGCGCACCTGCAGCAGCAAATGAACGCCTGGTCCCAGCGCCTTGCAGAGGAGCAGCCGCTGCAGCAGGAAAAAGCGAAGCCAGCCGCTCCACGAGACGAAGCAGGCAGTAGCAGCAGCAGCAGCAGCAGCAGCAGTAGCAGCAGCAGCAGCAGCAGCAGCAGTAGCAGCAGCAGCAGCAGTAGCAGCAGCAGTAGTAGTAGCAGCAGAAAAGACAGCAGCAACACGAAAAACCCCAGCGGCAGCGCAGAAGGGGCACGGCGCCACAGCAAGAAGTCTGGCAGCAGCAGCAGCAGCAGTAGCAAACGTGAGGGGGGCAGCAGCAGCAAAAGCAAACACAGTAAAGAAACGCACCGCAGCCGCAGATGCCGAGCTGCTGCTGGTGAGGGTAAGTGGGGCCGCAGCAGCAAAGCAGCAAAAGAGGCAACGCTTGCAGCAGCAGCGAAGGCGCTGCATGCTGCAGCGCGTAGACGCAGCAGCAGCAGCAGCAGCAACAGCGCCATTCAAAAGTGGCGGCAGCAGCTGCAGACTCCCGAACACTTAGAGGTCGTATCGGTGCTGAAGCGAGTACGTTGCAGCTGTTTGTCTCTCCTGCTGCTGCTGTTGCTGCTGCTGCTGCTGCTGCTGCTAGGATTTCGGGGGAGCTGTAGGTCCTACCGCAAATGTTGTGCTCCGTGGGCATGAACGTGCTGCTGCTGCTGCTGCTGCTGCTGCTGTATTGTCGCAGGTTAGTGCAGGGGAAGACCTGCTGGGGGCCAGCGGATTGCTTGCTGCTTCAGTTGCTGCTCCTCTTGCTGCAGCAATGCTTGTATTTGAGTGGAGATTAGCGGTGTCTGAACTCTGCTGCAGTGCAGCACGAAAGGCGCTGACAGAGCAGCTGCAGCAGCAGCAGCAGCAGATTGACGGGAAGCAGCCTACCCAGCAGCAGCCGCTCCTGCAGCTGCAGCCGCTGCAGCAGCAGCAGCAGCAGCGGCCAACCACTTTGGCCTCGCAGGTGGCGGGGTTGCAGGAGGCTGTGCATGCAGTGCAGCAGCAGCAGCAGCTGCTGCTGCAGCGGTTATCTCAGCTTCGGTCCGTAGACGAGGCCCAGGCCCAGAACAGCAGCAGAGTGCGGCGTCTGCTGAGTAGGTTGCTGATGCAGCAGCAGCTGCTTCAGCAGCAGATAGAGGGGAACGACAATCTCATGCTGCTGACGGAACAGGAGCAGCAGCACCTGGAGGACTTGGCGCTGCTGCCGCCTGCTGCTGCTGCGGCTGCTGCTGCCCAGCTAGAAGAGCTGCAGCAGCAGCGAGCTGCAGCGCGGGCACGGGCACGACAACTGCAGCAGTTACTGCTGCGTCTGCAGCAGCAGCAGTTGCTGCAGCAGCAGCTGTATGAAGAACAGATGGCCCTTGCGAACGGCGTGGAGGAGCAGGAAACCGCACAGATACTGCAACGGTACTGCTGCTCTTGCTGCTGTTGTTGCTGTTGTTGTTCCTTTTGCTGTTGCTGTGCATGGTACTCTATGGTTGCTCGTGTTTTGCTGCTGCTGCAGTATCTGCTGCTCCTCCTGAACCTGCTGCTTTGCTGCGGTGTGTGTGGGGTGTATCATCAGCCTGGGTGCTGCAGTGACGCAGCAGCAGCAGCGAGTGCTGCTGCTGCTGAGGCGGGCTGAGGCCCTTGCTCTGGGGATGATAGGTCGGACGATCCCCATAACGGCGCATGCGCAGCAGAAGCAGCAGAAGCAGCAGCCGCAGCAGCAGCAGCAGCAGCAACAGCAGCAGAAAGTTGACAGCCCACCGGAAGCCCCTGCAAACAGCAGCAGCAGCAGCAACAACAGTAGCAGCAGCAGCAACAACAGTAGCAGCAGCAGCAGCAGCAGGAGGCAGTGCAGGCCCGGGGCTTGTTTTATGTTGCCGTCCAACTTTTTAGATGACGCAGCGGAGGAGTTGCTGCAGCAGCAAACATCTCATGTCCCATCGGCAGCAGCACCATCAGCAGCAACAGGAACAGCAGCAACTGCTGCAGCCGAAGCAGCAGCAACCGAAGCAGCAGCAGCTGAGCTCCCGGCATCCCAAACTAGACAGACACTGCGTAGCCGCATGCAGCAGTCTCTCTTCATTGCTTCTGATGAAGGGGCAGCAGCAACAGCAACAGCAGCAGGAGCAGCAGATGTTCCTGCTGATGCTGAAGCTGCTGAGCCTACATGCAAGCGGGAGGCGGTTGATGCGAGCTGTGAATTGCCGCCAGTACTGCAGCAGGGGCATCAACAGCAGGAGCAGCAGCAGCAACAGCAACAGCAGCAGCAACAGCATCAGCAGAGAGCTCTCATGGAGTTGCTGCAGAAGACAAAGTGAGACCCAGCTATATCTTTTGCTGCTGTTGTGCTGCTGCGTAGTTTTTCTGTGAGGTGGCTCTGTGATGCCCTCATACCGTATGTCGCATCTGCTGCTGCTGCTGCTGCTGGGTTTTGTTGCAGGCTCCTGCAGCAGCAGGCTGCTGAGCTGGAGGAAGCTGTTGCTGCTGTCGAGCAGCAAGCTGCTACCTGTCTCCCCATTGGGTCTCTACCTGCTGCGGAGATAGCTGAAATGCAAGGCGAGGCGGAGTTGCTGCAGCTGCAGCAGCAGCAGCAATTGCTGCTGCCGGTGCACTTGCCTCTACCCACTGCTGCGGCAGCATCTGCAGTCAAACCCGCAGGAGACAATTCAATGCTGCCGCTGGTGCAGCAATTGCTGCAGGAAGAGACAGCTGCTCGCGCCCGCGAGGCTGCGGGTCGGCGTGCGCTGCTGCAGCAGCTGCAGCAGCAGCAATACCCCCACCTGCAGCAGCAGCAGCAGCAGGTGGGAGACAGTTTCTTAGCAGGAACAGCAGCAGGAGGAGAAGCAGCCGATGACTCCCTATGCATTAATGATGGAGACAGCAGCTTCGATGCATGCGACAAGAAGACGGAGGTAGAAGAGATGTGGGAGACGCTAGCGAGCAGCTGCGAGGGGCTCAGCAGCAGAAGCAGCAGCAGCAGCAGCAGAAGCAGCAGCAGCAGAAGCAGCAGCAGCAGAAGTAGCAGCAACAGCGAGTTCTTTGCCAGCGAAGCCAGCAGCAGCCGAAAGGGGTCCCTGAGTTACCACGGCAGCAGCAACAGCAGCAGCAGGAGCAGCAGCAGGGATGCAGCTCTAGAAAGCGACAGCAATGAGCAGCATAGGGATGTGCTGCAGGTAGAGACAGTTATAGACAGAGCAGCAGACAAGCAGCAACCAAGCAGCAGCAAACTGTCTCCTCCACCTAAGCAGCAGCAGCAGCAACTCAACCCCACAATATCCCAACCTGCTTCAGCCCGTCTCTCTAACACCGCAGTTCTTCCCCCCGATCCCACCAAAATAACCGATCCCACCAAAACAGCACACCCCACGAAGGCCACGCTGCCCCCCGATCCCACGAAGGCAGTACTACCCCCCGACCCCACAAAAGCAGTACTACCCCCCGATCCCACAAAAGCAGTACTTCCCCCGGATCCCACGAAGGCAGTACTTCCCCCGGATCCCACAAAGGCAGTACTACCCCCCGATCCCACAAAGGCAGTACTACCCCCGGATCCCACAAAGGCAGTACTACCACCCGATCCCACGAAGGCAGTACTACCCCCCGATCCCACAAAGGCAGTACTACCCCCCGACCCCACAAAGGCAGTACTACCCCCCGATCCCACAAAGGCAGTGCCGCCCCCCGATCCCACAAAGGCAGTACTACCCCCCGACCCCACAAAGGCAGTACTACCCCCCGATCCCACGAAGGCAGTGCCGCCTCCCGATCCCACGGAGGCTGCTGATGCTGGTGCTGGCAGCTCGGCGTCTACGGGGGAAGGAGTGTCAGAGGGCCCCACAAAGGAGATATCTGCTGCTCCACAAGGCGAAGCAGCAGATACACAAGACACCCCACAAGGAGCCAGCAGTCCCTTCAAAGGATCATTCCTTGCTGCTGCTGCTGTTGAACCTAGCAGCAGCAGCAGCAACAGCCAACGCGGGCACTTCGGTAGCAGCACAAACGGCAGCTGTGGCAGCTTCTTCGGCAGCAGCAGTAGCAGCAAAGGCGGCAGCATCTTTGGCAGCAGCAACAGCAGCGGCGGTGGTCTCTTCGGCAGCAGCAGCAGCAGCAGCGGGAGCGCTCGCTTCGGCAGCAGCAGCAGCAGCAGCAGCGAGGGACTATTTGGAAGCAGCAGCAGCAGCAGCAGCAGCGAGGGCGGTCTATTTGGAAGCAGCAGCAGCAGCAGCAGTGGGAGCGGTCTCTTCGGCAGCAGCAGCGGGAGCAGCAGCGGCAGCGGTGGGGGTCTCTTCGGTAGCAGCAGCAGCAGCAGCACCAGTGGTGGTCTCTTTGGCAGCAGCAACACCGGCGATGGTGGTCTGTTTGGCAGCAGCAGTAACACGAACAACAGCAGCAGCAGCAGTAGCAGCAGCAACAAGGCGGATGCGTCTGCTCCTTCAACGAGTTTCTTTGGTGGGGGCTTTGGCAGCAGCAGCAGCAGCAGCGGGCCCATAGACATAAAGGGGATTGGCAGCAGTCTTGCTGCAGGGACACCCAAACAAACCTCAGGCTTCGCAGGCTCTGCTCTTGCCTCAGGGCCTTTTGGAGGGGGGGGGCCCTTCGGGGGAGGGGCCTCGCAGGGGCCCCCCAAGGGGGGCCTGGTAAGCATCCTAGGGCCGGGTCTATTCGACAGCAGCAGCAGCAGCAGCAGCGGGGACACTGCAGCAGCAACTGCTGCAGGATTCGGCAGTCAGGCACAGTCTGCTTCGCCGTCTCCTTTTGGCAGTTCATTCTTCTCGCAACAGCAGCAGCAACAGCAGCAGCAACAGCAACAACAGCAGCAGCAGCCACTGCTCTCCCTCGGCAATGTAAACGTTAGCGACTTATCTCTAGGGCAGCGGCAGACCTACAACTTTGGGCTGGTACGTTGAAGCTGCTGCTGTTGCTGCTGTTGCTGCTGCCGCTGTTGTCGCTGCTCCTGTTTTTGCTGCTGCTGCTGCAGACACAACAGTTGCAGGTGCTTTTGCCGCAGCAGCATCGCAACCTTGGGGTTTGCGCTTGCATTGACTGCTTCTGCTTCTGCTGCTGTTGCTGCTGCTGCTGCAGTCCAACAACAGCGGGCTTGGAGACCTGCAGCTAGAAGGAGGCCCCACTGCAGCAGGGCCTGGGATCGCCTCCGGGGGACAGGTTCAGGGTAAGCAGAAATAATCAAATCCAATCAGTTGCTGCTGCAGTGCTGCTGCTGCTGCACCGAAGCAGCTGGAGACCTCCGCTCGCTCTACGTTCCCTGTCCTCGTGGTGCTGACTGCTGCTGCAGCAGCTGAAGGAAAGCGCTGAACCCTGTGGTGCTGATGCTGTTGCTTGTGCTGCTGCTGTTGCTTCTGCTGTTGCTTCTGCTGCTGCTGCCGTCTCAGGGGGATTCTCTGCATTTGCATCCCAGGGGACAGGCTTTGCTTCTCTCGCGCAACAGCCGTCTTCGGGGGGTTTCTTTGCCGCTGCAGCGCAGCAGCAGCAGCAGCAGCAGGAGCAGCAGCCGCAGCAGCAGGGGTTTGGAGGGTGGGGACAGTTAAGCAACGCGTCTCCTTTCGGCGGTGTAGGTAGCATGCCAGTCTCTGCTGCTGCTCCTGCTCCTGCAGCAGCCGGTGCTGCACCAGAGGATAAGAGCATCTGGACAAGGGCGAGGGCCACCAACCCCCTCGAATAAAGCTAGCTAGCTAGCTAGCTAGCTAGCTTTGCCCCGCAACACGCCGCGGGAGCTGCAGCAGCAGCAGCTGTCACTCGCTGTCGTGTCTGGAGCTGCAGCAGCAACATCTGCTGCTGTTCGCTGCTGTTCGGGTCGGTGCTGCAGCAGCTTTGTTTCAGCAGGGGCGTCACATGACAGCTCAATGGGATATATAATAAGGCCCATGGCTTCTGTTTATGCTCACAGCTAGCTAGCTAGATAACTAGCTATCTAGCTAGCTAGATAGCTAGCTAGACGGCTAGCGACAAGGCAGCATGCGTGGCTAGCTAGACGGATAGCAAGCTATCTGTAGGGCTAGTTCTATGGTTAGCTCGCCAGATGAATGGCTAGAAGGCTATCTTGCTGCTTAGCTAGATGGCTAGTTAACTAGGTAGCTGCTTAGGTAGATGGCTAGCTTGTTGTAGGGCTAGCTAGATGGCCAGCTGGATGGCTAGGTGGCTAGTTAGATGGATAGCTAGGTGACTAGCTAGGTAGCTAGCTAAGCAGCTAGCTAGATAGCTAGCCACCTGCATTGACACATGGAAACCTAGCAACCGATCCGCCTCCAAACCAACTCTAAAAAAACAGCAAAGGTGCGTCCTAACAGCAGCTTCGCGCTGCTGCACCGCCGCAGGGCTGCCTGCCGATACGGCTAGCTAGCTCGCCAGCCACTAGCTAGCTAGCTGCCAGATAGCTACCTATCTAGTGGCTGGCTAGCTATGGTGGCAGAGCCCCCGCAGCTTACTGGGTTAGGCTGTGCTGCAGGCGCAGCCGCTTTATGCGTGGAAGTGCAGCAGCAGCAGCTGCTGCTGCCGCCCGATGCAAACGCTTGTTGAAGCAGATACCGCTGCTGCAGATGCTGCTGCTGCAGGTACTGCAGCTGTAGATACTGCTGCTGCAGGTACTGCTGCCCCAGGTACTGTTGCTGCAGATACTGTTGCTGCAGGTACTGCTGCCGCAGGTACTGTTGCTGCAGGTACTGCTGCTGCGTATATTGTTGCTGCTAGTGCTGCTGCTGCATATACTGCTGCTGCAGATGCTGCAACTGCATACACTGCTGCTGCAGATGTTGCTACTGCCACTGCTCCATAGTGTTGCTACTGGATGCTGCAGTAGTCTTTGGGTGGCCCGTTCCGGCTATGGCTGTTGCTGCTGCTGCTGCTGTTGTTGCTGCTGCTGCAGTTTGCTTTTAGCAGTTGCTGCATCAGCTAGGAGGAAGACGCCGCCCAGCTGTACATACACCTCGCGGCCCGGGGGCAGCGAGCTGACTTCATGCAGTGCTACAGCGCGTTCGCTCTTGTAATCATTTCTAACAGCAGCAGTTGCAGCAGCAGCAGCAGAAGCAAAAGGTCCTGCTGCTGTTGCTGCTGTTGCTGCTCTTGAGGGGGCCCCTCCCCTGCTCTCGCTTACAGAAGGCCCCCCCCGCATGCTGCTGCAGCACCGGGAGTTGCTTGCTTGTCTATTACCTTTCTTTTCTTCTTTTCTTTAATTTTAAACAAATATATTTAATAAAAGAAAGAGGCTGAGTGAAAATGCAGAAGGAAAAACAGAGAGGGGGGCCCTGTGGGGCCCCAGACCGGGGTTGGGGGGGGCCCCACGGGGCCCCTGAGAAGCGCGCAACCGCCTTAGCTACCTATCTAGCTAGTTGTTAGCTAGCTAGCCAGCTGTCAGTTAGCTACTTAGAGCTGTAGAGTAGTCAAATGCGTTTAATGCGTTGTGCACTTCTAAACCCCTTGTTTGTTGTCTGCAGACAAAATAGTCAAAACTCAGCTGTTGTCTTCTGCTGCTTCTTTCCCCAGAGAGGCGAAGCTATCTAGGGGCTTGCGCGGAGCTGTGTGGCTAGCTGTGGCTAGGTATGGCTAGCTATGACTAGCTGTGGTTAGCTATGCATAGCTGCGACGAGCCGTGGCTAGCCGTGGCTTGCTGCAGCTAGCCGCAGCTGGCCAGCTAGCCGCTTAGGCCGTTCAGGTAGCCTGCTAGCTACGCTGTTGCATGCGCCCACTGCTACGGGCGCCCTTCAGTGTTTAACTGCATGCAGTGCTGACAACACCGTCAGCAGCAGCAACAGCAACAGCAGCAGCAGCAGTTAGACCCCATCCCTCATTAGCCCTGCTTCGTCTATCAGCTTGGAACAGACTTCTATGGTAGCACCGAAGACCGGGCAAAACCCTAAACCCTAAACCCTAAACCCTAAACCCTAAGCATCTCTTGTCTCTCTGCCTAAGGGTTTAGGGCCTTCGTTCTAAAGCGAAAGTTTGTGTTGAGCTCAGCAGATGCAGCTTAACCCTAAACCCTAAGCCTTAAGCCCTAAACCCTAAACGCTAAACGCTAAACCCCTGACGACTGAGGGAAGCAAAGAAACAAAAAAAGAGCCCAGCTCCCTCTGCTGCATGCAATGGCGGTTTAAATGCATTTAAATATTATATATATACACATAATTATATATATAGGCAGCACATGTCTCCACGTACATTCATATATATTTGTGCTTGTGTACAAATATGTATATATATAAATATATATATTATATAATGTATATATGCATATATACATTACATATATGTGTAAAATTGTTAGATATACATATTTCATGCATATATTTATATATGTAGAGGATCCTTTTACAGATATCTAGGCATATGCATATATACATATATACATATATACATATATATATACTAGCTAGCCAGCCCGCGGTCTGCGCCTGATGTTAGCATTTGTACCAAGTACTACAGTTGGTAAATGCTTGTTAGAAGAGCGCTCCTCCGCAGCCCTGCCATAGCTACTTAGCTAGCTAGCTAGCTAACCAGCTAGCTACGTGGCTAGGTAGTTCGGTAGCTACGTCACAAGCTAGCTAGCTAGCTAGCTAGCTAGTGTTCCATTGCAGCTAGCTGCGGCGGCGTCCAGCGGGCAGCAGAGTTGATGATGCTGTCGCCATATGCAATATTTAAAATGCGTAGAGCCGCTGCAGCTGCACTGCGGTGTACACGACTGTGCTGTACATACACCGCTGCATGTATGCACGCATGCATGCATGCATGCAGAGGGTACGCCGTGCACATGCACAAGAGCACAAAACACAAAGAAAGGCAACAGGCAACCTCAAGTCAGACCCGTAGCAACACAATAAATGAATGAAGGCCTTCCCTCTAAAGCAAAGGCCTTTCTGCGGCTTTGTTTCTGCTGCTGGAGGCTCGCATACTGGCCTCTACACTTTTCCTTTCATGTGGGCGCATCACCATGCATGCGTGCATGCATGCACGTATGATGTGCATGCATGTATTATGTACATGCATATATCATGTGCATGCATGCATGCATGTATTTGCATGCAGGCATGCACGAACGTATGCAAGCATGTGCATGCATGCACACACGTACGCATGCATGTATGAGGTGCATGCATGCTTGAACGAACGCATGCATGCATGATATGCATGCACGAAAGCGTGCATGCATGCACGATCTGCTGTTGCAGGTTCAGGACATATGCACATGTGCTATACACGGAGAAAATAGATACATTCCCTGCATTTTATGTCTTCATATACAACAATATATATAATATATATTATATATATTTTATATTCCGCATATACGCCGACTCGTCTGTCTGCAGATAAATCGGCGTCAAATCCCGTTGTTCAAGTGTACGTACACTTCACTGACTTCGGTGCCTGAACCCTAAACCCTAAACCCTCCCTCCAGATGATCCCGCAGCGCACAGTCTCCGCAACCACCCAATTCGTCTTCCTGTGGTTTAGGGCCTAGGGTTTAGGGTTTAGGGTTTACGGTTTAGGGATTACAGCCTCCAGCTTACGGTATACCGTCTAGGGTTCAGAATTTACGGTTTAGGGCTTCCATGCTCAAAAAAAATAAAAACACAAGAGAAAGGCCTGCGTTGGCGTGAGTGTTATCTTTCGCTTGCTGCCGCTGCTGCTGCATTTGCTGCTGCAGTTGCTGCTGCTGCTGCTGCTGCTGCATCCGCTGCTGCAAATGCTTTGCTCCTCGGTACCCCTCCCGATTCTCTTGCTGTTGTCTTTAATACTGCATTTGTTGCGGCTTGAAGCGTCCTCCTCCCTAAGATCCTGTTCGGGTTTATTGTCTGCAGCGAGCAGCGCTGCTGCGTTGCTGCTGCTGCTACGGATTAGGCAAGCCCTTGCCTCTTGTCTTCTGCTGCTGTCTCCTGCCTCCTGCTGCTGTTCTCTTCCGTCTCCCTCTGCAGCAGAACGGTCTTCAGTCGTGTGGTCCCCGTGAAGCTTTTGCTGCAATGAAACCGGCAACTGGAGCCGTGTGTGCACGTGCAGCGCTGCTGCTGCTGCTGCTGCTGCTACAGCTATCGCCGCAGCAGCGCGCTCCCCTTGCCCCCGTCGCTGCGATTGCTGCTGGAGGAGTGCTCCCCTTGAAAAAGGGTGCAGGGTTTAGGGTTTACGGTTCAAGGTTTAGGGTTTAGGGTCTAGGGTCTAGGGTTGATGCGTCTATGAAGCTTTCTTTCCTTGCTGTTGGGGGGGCTCCTTACGCTTACTCAGCTGCAGCACATTGGGGATAGTCTCAGTTACAAGAGCAGCAGCAGCAGCAGCGTCATCATGTATCTTGAGTGGGGGGTCAGGCAGCTCTGCAGGTGTGACAGCCGGAGCATAATAATCTTCTTCCCGTGCTATTTCTGCAGCAACCGTTGCCAGTTCCTTATCGAGTTCTGCTAGAACATCTGCATGCACATTGCTAATCCTCTCAAGTACTTCTTCATTATCTCCGTACATCGAACGGCGCTGTAGGTTTGTCCACAGAGCTTCTTGCACAAGCTCTTGTGCTGCAACACGTACTTCTCCCCTCTTTACTTGTCCTAGCCTGCTTAGCATACCCTTGAAGTACTCTATGTTGGATTGCTGCTGAGCTAGAAAAACAAGTGCAGAAAGCTCTCTTCTGAATGCGTTTGAGCTCCACCTCCGTACAGCCGCAAGGGAGTGAAGTGCTGATCTTAATTCATTTACTCTCTCTTCCGTTTGCTTCAGCTGTACACGAGAAGTTGTTACTAAAGTTTGCACGGCCTCCCACCGAGCTGTAAATACCTCCAGAAGCAAGGGAGAGTCTTTATCTCCCGCAGCAGCAGCAAGTAAGTCTTCAAGAGGCTCCTGCTGCAGCAGCTCTATAACTTGTTGGTCTGCAATCCTATTGCATGCCTCAGATATAGCCAGACGTGTTGCTGTATTTCCTTCAAAGATTTCGCCTAGAGCCACAAGAAGGTCGTCTGCATAAGGAGCAACATGCCTGGAAATGTACTTAAGTGGGAATGCTTCTTTAGCTATCCCTCCAAATGCTTTTGAACCGAAGTTCCCCGTCTTCTCTAGCACAGCAGCAACAGCATCTTTTCTTTGTTGCATCTGTTGTTTAATATTCCACCATGTTGCTATGCCATATATTTCAGGATAACGGACCCTTTCTTTTAAAGTTCCTCGGTATCTCTCCAGTTCACGAATTAGCAGCTCTTCTTTTGCTGTTAATACTTCCTTCTCTGCCTGGAGCATCAATAATGTCTCTTTATATCGAACTCTCCTGTACACCACGCCGTGCAGATAATTGTTAGCTCGTACAACTGCTCTCTGTTTTCTTTCAACATCTATTGTATCTAGGACAGCACCTTCTATATCTACTCCTTGTGACGCTCCAGTTCCAGTAAGTGCAGCAACAGCTTCTTCTCCTGCCATGCCTTTGGTGCGTATAAGTCTCAGCATTGCTCTTGCAAGCCCCGTCCGGCCTTCCTCTACATGAAGTCCTTCTATAGCTTCTGCTGTATAGATTATCTTATCATTTACTCTTCGTAAGCCAATGCGTACCTGCATCAAATCTCTCTCCAGCTTTGTTAATGCTTCTATCCCTGGTTCGTCTTCTGTTTCTGCTGCTGCTCCTCCTGCTGCTTCTCCTTCTGTTCCTGCTTCAGGCTTTGCTTCCTTATCCCCGGTCAAGCCGCGCACCCGCTCTGCAACAGCAGCAAACTCTTGTTTCGCCGACTCCAGCAGCTCCTCTCTAGCTGACAGTTGCGTCATTTTCAATGAAAGAGAATCTCTTTCCTTCTGCAGCTCATCTATCTGCTGCTGCAGCTCCTGCTGCTGCTTCAGGAGCTCATTCCTCCAAGGCGCGCTGCCGCTTAGCGCAGAAGCTGCTGCATCTTCTGCTGCATGCACATCCAGCTGCACCAAATCCCTTATAAGAGATTCTGTTGGCTCTCCTTCCTTTGCAGCATCTGCAAGCAGCTCCAAACGCCGGCACAAATGCCACCGCTGCAGTTCCTGCCGCTGCTTCAGCTCCTGCTGCTGCAGGTTCTCTCGGTACTTAGCCACCTGATCACGCATCTCCTTCAGCAACCCAGCAGCAGCACTTCGCATCTTCTCTGCTGCATCCGGTGCACCCGCACCAAATGCAGCAGCAGCAGCAGCAAACTGCTTCCCGTACTGCTCCCAGATCTCGGCAGCTTTCCTCGTGGCCTCAATCTGCTGCCAAGCATCAGCCATGTCTTCACCTACTGTCTCTGCATACACCTCAACCCTGAAGAAAGCTTTCTCTCTCTCTGATCGCGCCCGTTTGAGCCTCTCTCTTGCCTCTAACAGCAGCTCCTTCACGGGGTCTTCTGGCTTTGTTTCTTCGTCTTTTCGTGTATCTTCATTGCCTTCTCCCCCCTCTTCTCCTGTCTCCTTTACACCTTTACTGTCTCCTTTATCTTTATCTCCTAAGTCTTCATCTACCTGTGCATACACCCCAAAAAAACGGTATGCTGCCAGCGTTGACAGCAGCAGCAGCAGCAGCTGCTGCAGCGGGCTCCTGAATTTCTTCAGCGAAGGCAGCACCTTTGATTTTGCCATCTTTCCCCAGACCAGCGGCTGGTCTGCTGCTGGTGCTGGTGCTCCTGCTGCTTCTTCTGCTGCTGCTGCTTCTGCGGGTGATTCTGCTGCTGCTGTTGCTGTTGCTCCTCCTGCCGGGCTACCGGTAGGAGAGGCCTCTCCCTCCAACTGCTCTTCTACAGCCAGCCTCTCGGGTGAATGGCTCGGGCTCTGCGTGAGCCCCAGGCCGTTGCTGCTGCTGCTGCTGCTGCTGCCACGGTCTAACAGCAGCAGCAGCAAAAGCAGCAAAAGCAGCAGAGACAAAGGCGCGCGTGGCGGCCTGCCTCCCCACCCAACTGCTGCAGGTTTCATTGGCTTAACAAGCAGTCTCACTTAAGAAGATGCACCAAAAAGAATCGGAAATACTCACATAATGCTGCAGCAGCAGCTGCTGCTGCTGCTGCAGCTCTCGGTGCGACGGAGGAGCAGCGGAAGACTCAGCACTTCTCTGCTTCCCACCACTTCTTCATTGTACAGCCACCAAAAAATAAAATGCCCCGTATGATAGGAGAGCACCAGATCACAGCTGTTTCTGCTGCTGCTGCTGCTGGAGCTGCTGCTGCTGGAGCTGTTACTGCTGCTGCTGCTGACGCTGCTGCTGCTGTTGTAGAGCACAGCATACACTCCAACAGCCAGGGCAAATAGCAGGCCGCAATACACTGCCGTGGCGCGGAGAGCTGCTGCTGCCTCGATAGTAAGAAAAGCAAGATCAGCAGCAGCAGCAAAAGCAGCAAAGGCAGCAAAAGGCCCACCTTTAAGCAGCAACCCTTTGGTGCTGCAGCGTGCAATTCGTCAAAAAACAGAAGGGGCGCAACGAACAGCAACAGAAGCAACAGCAGCAGCGGCGGCGCAGAAGCCGCTGCTCCTAGTGGTTGCAGCAATAGCAGCAGCAGCAACAGCAGAAGCAGCAGCAGCAGCCAACACTACTGACGCCCTATAGATCTCTCGGTGACCTCCGAGGCTTAGCAGCTCAATGCTTCTCGCTGTAGCGGGCTGCTGAAGCTTTGCTGCTGCTGCTGCTGCAGCAAAGATGCGACAAAAGCGGAAGCATGCAAGCACAGAGCAGGCGCAACAGCCCCTGCTGCTGCTGCTGCTCTGAATGGGGAATGCTGCTGCAGCAAAAAGCCAAGGCTTTTAGGAGTATGTCTTCAGTGAAAAGCAGCAAGAGATGGTAGAAACGGAATAGAAGACAAACACGAACAGAGCAGGAAGCAAGCAGCAGCAGCCGCAGCAGCAGCAGCAGCAGCAGGTTATTGCCACGACTGCAGCAGCAGCAGCATAGAGAAGAAATAATAAAAAACTGTAGGAGAATATCAAAAAATACGGAAAATAAAAACGGAAACCCCGAACAGTAAACCCTAAACACTAAACCCTAAACCCTAAACCCTAAATCCTAAAGCAGAGGGAGTGAAGAAGCAAAACGCTCCCTCGGTGTAGGGGGATCCGCTCCCTGTGAGCGTTTATTATTTGTTTATGTATGATGAAGTAAATAAAGCAGCAATTCTTTTAATTAGTATTAAAAAGAATATTCTTCTCTGCTGCTGCTACTGCTGCTGCAGCAAAGAGAAGCATAGACACAAACCCCTGGCTTCTTGTATAATCATCAACCCTTATGCTTCTCTGTATGGTTTGCCTAGCCGATACAGCAGCTGCAGCATTATCATAAGCAGTACATAATAAAATATATTTTTATTTTTATTTTATTTATTTTTATTTTTATTTTAAAACCCCTACTGAATATTGCGAAGGCACCAGCTGGCCTTCGCGTCTCTAAATAACACCCCACCGCGTCGATACCCATTGCATATATATATATATATATATATGCATACACCCATTGCATATATATATATATGTTATATATATAATATATGTATAGATATCTATATGTATATATACATATATATCTATATATATACATGTATATAATTAATATGCATCTGTATATGTATATATAGATATACATGAGTGGACTCGTCTATATATATTATATATAATATATATATATAATATATGCATAGCTACATATAGGTATATATATGATGCATATATATGTATTATTCTTCTACACCTGAAGTATATAGATATGTATAATAATATGTATACTGTATACAAATAGACATGCATTATCTATATACACCAGGTGTATATATAGATATATATAGATAAGCATATATATAATGAATATATATATATATATATGTATACATATATATACATGCATTATCTATATACACCTGAAAAATATATTCATATGCATAAACATAGAACGATATAATATATATATGCATACATATGTATATATGTATTCTATATAAGACGTATACATGCATATGTGTTTATATATATATATATATATATATATATATGTAATCTATATACGCCTGATGTCTACATACATATATACATATATGTAATATATATGCGCCTGATGTATATATGCATATATGTATACATACATATATAATGTATATATATGTAATGTATGACTATCTATCTATGTTTATATATATATATATATTGTGTATTCACCTGATAAACATATATATAGATATATAGGTGTAGATATAGAGAAATATATATATATATATATATATATATATGTATGTGTATACATTTTCTATTGCATATGTATATATATATATATATATTTATACATGTGTATATGTAATGTATATGCAACTCGTGTAAATATTATTGACATAAATAAGTACATGCATGTCGAATGTTATACATGCATACATACATACATACATATATATATATATATATATGTATATATATATATATGCACATATACATTATATAATGGAATCATGCAAAATGTATATAGAGCGTATGTATAAACACTTGATTTATATACACCTGCTGGATATACCTGCTGCCTATACACCTGATGCCTATACACGTGATACCTATACACGCGATGCCTATACACCTGATGCCTATACATCTCCTCTATATACGCCTGATGCATATAGACCTGATATGCTCATCTATACACCAGCTGTCTCGACGCCTGGTGTATATACGCCTGATGTATATACACCTAACACAAGCGGCTAATGTGTATACAGCACAGCCAGCTGTATATACATTATGGGTATGTACGCTTTAGGGGGATACACACAGATAATAATCACTCTTCAGGTATTTACTCTCCATGTATAATAAACGCCAAATAACATATATATATACATATATATACATATATGTATATTTATATATATATATATATATATATGTATATATATATATATATATATTACATATATATATATAGCAGAGGTATTAGACAGAAAGAAGCACTTAATTGGTGTTTATTATAAATAGAGATTAAATACCAGAAGGGTGATTATTCTTTTACAGATATTTTTTCTTTATAATCCTGTCGTTAATATATAATATATATAACCCCTACTTAAAGGCGGCACTGTCTCCTATACTCCTAAAGTGTATATACCCATACTGTATATACACCATACTGTACATACACCCGGTTGTGTTTATATTAATTAATAAGACGTGAAGAAATGTTTAGGAGTTGCTGTATCAGCAACTGTTCGTGCATGCGCCCACGGGTAGAATGGGGCTGCTACTTTTATTAATAAACCTGCTGCAGCACAGAAGACAAGAGACACATAAGACAATGTCTCCTTTAAGCAGGGGCTGTTTATATTATCAAACGAAGCCTTTCTAAAGGCAATCTCAGAGAAAGAAATATCAGTGAAATAAGAACCACTCTTCAGGTGTATAATCCCCATTCGTAATAAACACCAAATAGGTGCTTCTTTCTATCTAGTATAAATGAATATATATATATATATATA